ATTTGGGGCAGATGAGTCAGTCGTTGGGGTATGATAACACGCACGTGTTTGTTTCAATGATCAGCATTTGGAACTTTCTGGGCCGAGTTGGTGGAGGCTACGTCTCGGAGAAAATCGTCAGGTATATGAAAAAAATGTGAACATATTTCTGAGTAGGTTCTTGTCAGGTTTTGGCTGGAAAAAGAAAGATAAATTTGCAGTACACCCCTGAGGTTTGTGGCGATTGCAGAAAAGAAAAACCCCCCAAAAGTTTCTGAATTACTAGAAAAGTAGAAATCCCTTAAATACATTCAAATGGTTTTGTTATGAAGGAAAATACGAGACGAAATCGAACCATGACGGGTATTTGGTAAATATGAAGTAGTTCTTATGGACTTTTCTATAACTACTTGATACTTCAGAGGTAGTTTTTGTGGATGTCCAAAAAAATAAAAGAAGAGGAAAGTTCTAGTCTTTCAAATGACTAACTTTGCGTTTTAGTCTGTTAAATCATTTTCCCTTTAAAGAATTAACTTCTGCATTGATATCCTATGTTTCTCCATTTCTTTTTCTCACAATAATAAACCTACATTCTTTACAGGGACTATGCATATCCAAGGCCTGTGGCCATGGCCACAGCCCAAGGCATAATGGCTATCGGGCATTTCTTCTTTGCCATGGGCTGGCCAGGGGCCATGTACGTGGGCACTCTTCTCGTCGGGCTCGGCTATGGAGCCCATTGGGCTATAGTGCCCGCTACTGCCTCCGAGCTGTTTGGCTTGAAAAAATTCGGGGCTTTGTACAATTTTCTTACTCTAGCTAACCCAGCTGGATCTTTAGTTTTCTCTGGTCTTATAGCCAGCAGCATATACGACCGAGAGGCTGAAAAGCAAGCTCACGGGCATAATAATCAGTTACAACGCAGTTTGTTATCTTCGTTTTCGAGTTTCGTTCGTCTCGACGAGCCTTTAAAGTGCGATGGCGCAATTTGCTTCTTTTTTACGTCCTTGATTATGTCTGGCTTTTGTATAGTTGCGGTTGTTTTGAGCATGATTCTTGTGTACCGGACAAAACCTGTCTATGCTCACCTATATGGTGGATCCCGCAGGTGAGTCGAATCGAGAAAACGCGAATGCGGAAAGTGGGCTGCGTGTGTGTGTATGTGTGTGGAATTTGGTTCGAGTTCGAGGTTGATAGTTTGGCTGTTTTGTATCGATATGATGTTTTGGGAAAGCTGTAAGAGTTGACGAAGGCCGTGTTCGCCCTTTGGACAATGTGATTTTTTCAAGGCCGTGTTCGCGCTCTGGACAATGTGATTTTTTCAAGTTCTAACTGGAAATATATGCATTTCCAGCTATAGAATGAAAGAATAACTCTTTTTAAAGGGAAAAAAAAAAATGTGGTTTGAAAAACACTCCATTGATCTACAGATGGAGGAATGAGGATTGCAGGATTTGGTGTAGGGTTATGGTTGAGTGGGTGTATGTTGTTTATCTATGTTTTTTTATTGAATTGTTTGAATATCTTTGTAATAATCATTTTGGTGATTTAATAGCTGCTTATTGTTAGTATTATCCTCTATATTCAAGGCAGTGATAGACACTGCATCAGTGTATGTCATCTTTTGTTTTTGTCTTTTTTTTTTGTGTGTGTGTGTATGTGTGTGTGTGTGTGTGTGTGTGTGTGTGTGGAACTTTGAACTCAGGGACAGGCCTTTTTCGCACTATCCTACAGTTTTCTATAGCCTTTTTTATTTTATCTGTAATGTAGATCGATTTGTACTGAGTGCTAAGTACCATGTTTGCAACTTATCACAGTATTGACCACCCACCCATTTGATAAATTTCATTTCATGAGAATTTTAATTTCAATAGACAAATTGCCATTCAATAATGTTGCAAGTGATACAACTCAGTGAGAATCATAATAACAACAGGTAAACAAAGCCATTTTTGTGAACTGCTTGGGCAATGGCCATTCGCCAATATTGAGTGAAAGTTCCACTGAGAAAAGTTTAACATGCACCGAAAAAAAAAAAAAAAGGATGAACTGGGCAAGTCAAAGGCAGTAATATATCACGATTACAACAGTCGAAAGCAATTAAACGCCTCTTTATATAGCGTGGCTAGCAAGCAAGGCTATCCTCATAGGCTTCAGATGAGGAAGCAAGCACCAATTGTGGTTCATATTCGATGCCTTCTCTTCTCGCCCTTCTTCTTTCACGTTGAAGCCTGAAGGACTCCCTCTTGCGTGCTCTATAGCTGTTGGGATTCTCAGGTTGCACCTCCCGTGGATAAACACTTACCTGTGTGTGTTTTAGTATATGTTTTTTGAGTAATCAAGATTCAAGTTTTTCATTATTGGCAAACTGGAATGTGAAAAGAGTCGGCTTTACCTTTTTCTTATCAGGTCCAAACTTCTCGAACTTGACGAGTCCATCTATCAAGGAGAAAATAGTGTAATCCCTGCCGAGCCCTACATTTTTCCCTGGATGAAACTGCATATTTTATGGGGGAAAAAAACAGAATCAACAGAAATGAGACTATTGTTGAGTAAAAAAATGAAAGAAAAAAAAACACACAAATTTAACTTGCAATACACACGTCCTTGGACTTAATATGGCGGGAGATGTTTTAGATAGCGATGCTTCTACAAAGTTTCATTATAATGATAAAGTTCGATGCATCATGTATGTGAAATTGTGAATAGAGTTGATACTTTCAACTAGCAACTGTAAGGACAAAGGTAATTCACAAGAGAAATTGATATGAGATAACAGGTGAAGGTTCAAAGCAGAATGTAAGAAGAATCCTGATCACAGTCATTGCAATGGCATGGCTCCCCACCCACTCTCATTGTAATGACACGACCTTCTAGCATCTCCATTTGACTTAGCAGGGGAAGATTTACAATTGCAAAGGGAATGAAAAAAATAGTAGCAAAAGAACAGAAAAGAGAAAGAGAAGAGGATTAACAAAAAAAATATATATATAATAAATAAACACAAGAAGCCCCATATTCTAGCTTAACCAGTACAATCATACAAATACTCGAAATAAATATATGAACCGAAAATTAGCTTTTGTGTTTGTCTTTGTCATATAGATTATAAACTGACAACTACAATGCCAGTTTTCTTACAAAATACAAACTACCGTGTATTTCAATCTAACAATTCATCGGGTTTTTTAAATTGAATCAACACTTACTCGTGATGTTACCTTAATCTTACATCTTTTTTATGAGTGCAATAGCCAAGCATCGAGTAGCAAACACAATAACACGGCCATAATCAGCCGGATTTTAAGTACCAAATGAAGCACAAAGAGATACTCTACAAAATAATGATGACCATTCAGTAATGAAGGAACTATTTGAATACTATATTAAACCACAGAAATGAGTTTGTCAAGCGATTTTCTAACCACAATGAACCATTTCAAAACCTTTATGCACACATACAGCTAGAAATCCCCTTTGCTCCACGAATATCAAAGGCCCAAACACAGGGAAAATAAATAAATTAACAAAATGACACAGAAATTTGTGTTTGGACCTTGGTGCCACGTTGGCGGACGATAATGGAGCCGGCCTTCGCGGCTTGGTCGCCGAAGATCTTGACCCCAAGCCGCTGCCCCGGTGAATCACGGCCGTTCTTAGTGCTACCAGCTCCTTTCTTGTGCGCCGCCAAAATCGTCAGCGACGGCTTGATCGGGAACGAAACGGCGACGTTTTGGCTGATGTGAATCGAACCGAAGAAGGACGACGAGGAGCTGGAACCAACGGAAAGGCCTTTGAACGCGCTCACTAGATTGAAACTCAAACTCACGGCGGCCATAGTTATCAGCCGAAAAACTCCTTTAAAAATGAACAGATAATTTTTTTGTTGGGGAGAGCAGAGAATGGTGTAGAATAATAAAAGCCTTATCGGCAGTTTTATCTGTGGAGCCTGGGAGCTTGTCGTAGTTGATTGCTACCGTAGCACGGGTAAATTTTGATGGAAAAAAAAATAAAAAAATAAAAAATAAACTTCAAAAGCTTAATTGTGGAGTGCGGGATTCGAACCCACGCCCTTTCGGACCAGAACCTTAATCTGGCGCCTTAGACCAACTCGGCCAACTCCACTTGTTGGTTGTTATGCCATCATTTTATAAATTGGCAGTATGAGAAAAATCACAGATTTTTTCATTAGTT